GCTACAATTGCTGTGTTCCTCAGCTCAGTATCTTGCGTGGTTTCTCTCTTCCTTGACAGCATAATACCAGTTGATTGTCAGCTGGCGCCGTGGCTCACTAGGCTAATCCTCCGCCTTGCGGTGCCAGCACACCGGGTTCTAGTCACGGTCGGGGCGCTGGATTCTGTCCCAGCTGCCCCTCTTCCAGGTCAGCTCTCTGCTGTGGCCCAGGAAGGCAGTGGAGGATGGCCCAAGTGTTTGGGCCCTGCACCCCATGGGAGACCAGGAGAAGCACCTGGCTCCTGGCTTCGGATCAGCACGGTGTGTCGGCCGCAGCGGCCATTGGAGAGTGAACCAACGGCAGAGGAAGACCTTTTTCTCTGTCTTTCTCTCTCTCACTGTCTACTCTGCCTGTCAGGGAAAAAAAGAAAAAAAAAAAAAAAAAAAAGAAGAAGAAGAAGAAGTTGATTGTCCAGCTAACATGGTCTGGGAACAGGGCTGCCGGGGAAATGAAGGCAAGGGTGCTCCCGAGAGGCAGAGACGGGGAGGACAGGACAACAAGGAGCAGCTTCCTGGGGGAGACTGCCACCCCCCTCTTTACTTTCCTGGTGGTGGCAACTGAAAGGAAACAGGAAAGCTGTCTGTCATCAAACCAGGAGGCCTGGCCTGGTGCACTAGTGACCGCCGTCACCCAGTTCCCCTATTTGATCAATGTCATCTGTCTCAGACAGAGGTTATTCAAATTGCCCAACATAGCCCAGCTAATAGGATCTGGCCAGGACAAGTGTCCCATTCCCTCTTGGTGTGCCCTTTCTTTACCACACTGTATTAAACTCGGAACAGAAGCACCAGAGCCACAGGTGAGACTTAGCACGTCAGAGCTGCAAACCCTAAGAAAGGTGTGGCCTTCCCTGGCTGAGTTACATCACTGGGCTGGTCACTCCTCCAGGTGTGGGAGCGTCAAAGGGGGCCATGGGGGAAGTGCCCATGTTCAAGACGGCAGTGAGCCTGGGGGCACAGAGGTGAGGTCTTCAGAGACTTGGGATGAGTGTTCTCTATTCAGGACTGTTGCAGAGAAGGTTCCAAAGCTGCACTGATCTCTTGTTATATAAGGGACCCTCTGTCCTCCACTGGAACTTTTTTTTCCCCTACAGGTGACAGCTGGTTAAATTCAGGGGCAGCCTAGCCGGAAAGCCTAAAAGGTGACTTCGCAGAAGGGGACAGAGGTCCTCTGCAGCTGCCCCTGGGGGCTGGTCTTGTCCCCGCTGTCCTCATCAGCTGATCCCCCCAACCTGTGTCCCCAGCGGGGACTCGGGCATGTTTATGTCAGTTTGACCTTCAGACAGTAACAGCTAAGTTTCTCAGGAAGATCTTCCTGGGATCCAGACACTGGTGCCCTGACCCCAACCTGCTTGAGAACCTTCCCAGGGAAAGGAGCACTGTGGACAGGGAGTTAGAACATGGCTCTCTGGTCCTGCCCTCCGTTAATGAACATCAGTAAGTGTCAGTCACGGTGAAATGAGAAAATTGTGAAGTTTAAAGGTCCCTGGACTTCTGCTTGGAGAAGCAGCTGTGGTTTTTGAAGTCTGGCCTTTCCTGCTGGTATTTGATGAGAAGTGAGGCTGAGCTGGGGATTGGGACAGAGTTTCTGGTTTATCTGCCACACCCAGGGCTAGGCCCCCCACACAAGGAGGGAGGGGCCCTGGGAACCTCTGGCCCAGCTTTACAAGGGGCAAGGAGGTCAGGGAGAGGCGGAAAAAGAGATGGGGAACCAAGGGCGCAGCAGTGTTTCTGGGACCAGAGGAGACTTTGCGGGTGGAGACAGTTTTTCTTTTGAAAGGAGGAGGTATGGTTGTTACTGATCTGGAGTCCAGACTGTCTGTTTCCTTAGATGTCACTGGCAGGAGTTGCCTCATGAAACATTTAAACTCCACGTCTTGAAGCAGAACTTGCATTCTCTGGTTCAGGGCAGACCTCACCCTCCGGCACCCCTCTGCCTGGCACGTCACACGTTTGTGCCCCTGCTTGGCCCCAAAGGCATCTGAGTTCACAGCACCTGCTACTGTGTTCTCATTTTCTTTCCCCCTGAAAGTCAACTGCATTCAAGACAGACTTGGCTCCATTTCCCTGGAAAACGTGACCAACTTGGAGAGCTCACTTTGGAAAGATTCAACTCTACTGGGGAACTCCCCTCCCAGTATTGCTGTAGGTCGCTACCCTAGGGACACACAGGGACCTTCCCTGAGGAAGGTGACCCAGTTTCAGAGAAGCCCCTCTCGTCACACCCGCCTATTCCCCAAGTGTAGCACTTTATGGACACTTATGCTACTCGGGTTCATCATTTTCTTTTCCTGCCTTGTCACTGGTCTAATTCTTGTCACCTGATGCCTTCCCTGAAAATGAGCCACCTTGTTTCTCTCTCTCTCTCTCTTTTTTTCTCCCTCTTCACCTCTCCAATCTCCTTGTCCTGTGACTAATTTGCCATAGAGGGGCCAGGTGATTGGAGCTGTCGCCAGGAGATACTTAAAAGTATCTGAAAATTTGGGGTCCTGCTTTGAACTCGAAGGCTTGATCATCTTAACATATTTGAGTTTATCTCCATCGTCTGACCCAAATCCTTCTCCCTGCTCTTCAAGCGAGGCTAGGGGGATGGGCAGGCAGGCTTCATCTAAGCTTTATTAAGAATATTCTGTAAGTTTCTGTTTGGTTTTTATACTTCAAATAACTCTTAAAAATCGATATTTTGATGACTGAAGTGTAAATGAATAAGAACATGGAATAAGTTTCCCCTTCAATTACATGAACAGAAATTCTATGGGATTTTATTGGAAACCCAGGCAAAGTAAAGATATAGTTGTTTCCTCTTTTTCTGGTTCTAGTCTAAAAGGGAATTTGTGGTATTTTCTGGCTTTCCTTGAGTTACTTCCTTGGGTTGTTGTTAAGACTACTATTGCTCCCTTTTAAAATGAGGACCTCAAAATTGGTGCAGACAAAAGCTTGCAATCTTAGCTTTCCACATGGGCAATCTCATTTTGGCCTCAATCAGTGGTACCTCTTGGTGCTCCTGAATTGGGCAGACAATAAGATTAAAAATTATTTGTGGGGTGGGCATTGTGGCATAGTGGGTTGAACTGTCACTTGGTACACCCACATCCCATACCCTGTTTCAAGTCCTGGCTACTCTATCTATCTAGCTTCCTGCTAATGTGTCCTGGGAAAAGTAGGTGATGGCTCCAGTGCTTGGGAGACCTGGATGGAGTGCAGGGCTCCTGAGTTTGGCCTGACCTGGTGCTGGCTTTTACAAGAATTTGGGAAGTGCGCCAATTGATGGAAGATTCTCTCTCTGCCTTTCAAGCAGATGTAAACAAATGAATACACATTTAAAAAATTATGGTGATTTTCCTCCTTGACAAAGAAATGGAAAGATATCCCTGAAGTGGGCTTTTCCCTTTTCTTTTGTGTCACTTCTTGCTTTAGTGCTGCTTATCATAGTCTTACAAGTGAGTGTGAACCAAACCATTTTAGAATCACCAATGAAGAGAAAAGTTGTCCTCCAGAGGAACGAGTTCATCAGTTAGGGGAAGGCAGAGGGAGGAAATCAGCTAATGAAGTTCTCCAAGGCTCTTTCTGTTCCCTTCTTTAATACTGTTTCACGGTTTGGCTATACTGGTTTTTGAGTAATAATAAAAATGTAATGATGTTCCATTTAAATTTTCCTCTTTATCCTTTTGGTGTTTATAGCAATAATAACAACAGATGGTTTTATCTACCACTAATTGCTCAAAGAATTACATTTCTTCTACACAAGAGATATTAGTGTGTAAAGAGCCAAGCTAACAACTAAAATCAGAACGTACTTTTCCCAGATCAGGCAACACAAAACCAATTGTTTCCACATTTCTTTTCTTACACTCCAGTGTCTGTCATGTGTCCTATCTTTAGGACATTAACGTTTTACATTTCACAAGTCTTCCATAATAAATCACTATTCCCATCTGTACATATTAGCTTTGTTGGTTACAGTTTGGCTTAGATGATCCTGGTTTATCTAAAATATGGGTGGCAAATGGGCATGCAGTCGTTTTCCTACCCCAGGGGATTGGTAGTAACTGCATCTCAACCTCAGCCACACATTAAAATCCTCTGGAGAGGTTCTGGTAATTGTTGTAGGCCCCCACCCAGGTCAGAAGTCTCTGGGAACTCAGGCATATTTAAACTCCCGGGGTAGGGGGGAGGTTTCTAATGTACATCTAGGATTCAGAGTCGTGCAGCTGGAAGCAGATCCTCTCAACTTGGACCAGGGTCACCTGGGGAGCTTGTTAGGCACTCGGATTGCCAGGCCCACCCCCCGGGGTTTTTGATCCACTGGGTGTGGGATGCAGCCTGAGAATTTAACTTTAGCAAGTTCACAGGTGATGCTGATGCTGCCTGGCCAGGGGTCCACACTTGGAGAACCACGAGTGCAGTACTGTGTTAAGGAACATGAACCTGGTTAAGGTTGGGTGGGGAGATGGCTGCCATGGTCACAAGAGGGATGGATTTTGTTTATTGTCTTCACTTTTTAGAAGCTCATTACTAAACGGTCCTCACGCACAATGTGGAAATGGACTACTTTGGGGTGAATCCCTGTTTGCAGCTACTCCTACCCACATGTGTGATGATTTTTTCCTTGAGCTCTCAACAGCATCAGCTGGGACTAGCTGCCTGCCTGCTAACCCTATATAGAACTCTGTTCCAGCCACTGCATGCCGCTTTTATGGGGACCTATCTCAAGTTGGGGGCCTCTACCCTCTGTCCACTCTTTATATCTATTGCTGGAGAGACGACAGTTGTTTACCTATTCATCCAATTTGCTGGCTGGGCCCTAGCACCCTGCAAGACCAGAAGAAGTCAGTTTTAATGACATAGCTTAGAAGAAGGCTGCGGGACATCAGGGAGCAGCAGCAAGAGGGCACTGACACCTAACCCTGTCTGCTTCCACACCTGTCCTTAGCCTTCTAAGACCCTGTTTGTTTTCTCAGCTCTGCAGGGCTGTGTAGATCACAAGAGTTATCTAGAAGTGGAATCCAACAACGGTCAAGCAGACACAACAAGCAACTCTTCTGTCACTGAGAAAACCCGGTGAGTCTTACCCTTTGTGAGTCTTACCAGTTTGTTTCATGTTGCAAAGTCAGGTGCTCCATTCCCATGATGATTAAGCAGAGGTGCTTTGACCACTGTGTTATTTGGGTGAGTTGGAGAGGATGGAGCCAAAAATTATTTCCCATCAGATTTTCCCACATCAGAGGTCATTCATTATCCTGTGGGCAAAAGTCTTCATTCGACAAGTCAACCTGAATCTGTTTTCTGGGTTCCCTTCATGATTAAACCTAGACTTGACCTTTGTAGGTTAAAGCAGTGATTCTCGGCTGGGGGCAGTTTTGCTCCCCTTCCCACTCTAGAGGACAGTTGGCAATGTCTAGAACATTTGTGGTTGTCGCATTGCAGGAAGAAGGGCTGTGCTCCTGGTGAGTAACGGGCTGCAGTGTTGCTAAGCATCCTACAACCCTAAGCACAGTCTGCCCACAACAAAGAATTGTCCAGCCCCAAATGTCAGTAGCCCTCAAATTGAGAAACCATAGGTTTAAGCTTAAGCATAAAGGGAGTATCATTTCCTGTTTACCCACAAGTTAAGTATAATCCTGAAAGAGAGGAGCAGGGCTTGCTCAGGGCCGGCACGTACTGTTTCCAGTGGACACCTTGGCTGCTCAAGGTCTGCAGAGACCATGACCTTGGTTGAATACTGGCTCAGGCCAGGCCATGACACCAAGAGCTGGAGACTCAAGGAACTCCTGGTCCTGTTCAAGGAAGCCTTGTCTCAGAGCTTGTCTCCAGGCCTGTCATGTCTGTCACCAGGAAGAGACAGCTGCTGGAAGGAGTGGAACGTGGAAAAGGGGCGGTAAACAAAGGAAGCTTGCCCCCCCCAACATGGATTGTGGGGAACTGCATTAGAAGTTTTACTTGAGGATTTGGAGAAAGAAGCAGATCATTGGAAAGTTTGTTGCATCTGGAAAAACAGATCTTGAACTGCAATTTTTTTTTAAAATAAAATTCTTTTTTTTTTGAGATTTAATATTTTTGAGACTTGAGAAGTCAAACCCTCAGTAGTTCTCTATTGGTTTTAGAGTGCCATGGAATTACTTTGAAAGTAGACCACTGTAGACTACTTGCTTACACAGTCAGACTAGCTCACTTAATGGCACTTGAGAAAGGTCCTAACATCTCATGTTAGAGTAATACAATGTAGAATTTCTGATCCAGAGAAAGATCATTAGACTTGGCAGGTGAGAGACTTGGCTTCTGGTCCGAGTGCTAGCATGTCCAGCTGTTTGACCTTGGGCAATCAGAGAACCTTCCAGAAAAATGTCTCCAGCCTCAGCTGATGATTGACTTTACCAAGAAAATCTTTATATATATATATATATATATTTTTTTTTTTTTTTGACAGGCAGAGTGGACAGTGAGCGAGAGAGAGAGAAAGAGAGAGAAAGGTCTTCCTTTTCCGTTGGTTCACCCCCTAGTGGCTGCTGCGGCCAGTGCGCTGCGGCCGGCGCACCACGCTGATCTGAAGCCAGGAGCCAGGTGCTTCTCCTGGTCTCCCATGCAAGTGCAGGGCCCAAGAACTTGGGCCATCCTCCACTGCACTCCCTGGCCACAGCAGAGAGCTGGCCTGGAAGAGGAGCAACCGGGACAGAATCCGGCGCCCCGACCGGGACTAGAACCTGGTGTGCTGGCACCACAAGGCGGAGGATTAGCCTAATGAGCTGCGGCGCTGGCCACCAAGAATATCAAGACAAGTTTCTGAGCTCTTTCCCTTGACCTTAGAACTTCCCCCCTTTGCTTCAGCTGCCCTTCCTTCCTTTGTGCCCATCTCTCAGACCTCAGATCCTCTTCTTTGCATAAAGTTCCTGCCCTCCAGGCCCTACCACTGTCAGCACCCACGTTCCCGTCACATCTTTCCCATTCTGTTCTCTGCCTTTTGCTTATAGTTCTCTCCATTCTGACAAGTGCTTACCCTTGGCCCTGTACTTCACTCTTCCTAATTTTCACCACCAGACGTCAGACTGACATCCAGATCTGCTGCCTCACCTAGCAGGTGCTGCTCTCTTTAATCCTGACATCTGCTTTCTGACCTCACCATACCTCTAGAACTGTCCTTGGGAAGTTCAGCCCCCAAGCGGTACAACCCCATCTCCTGCAGAGTCACTGCAGCACTTGGTTCCGTGGGCCATGCTTTCCTGGTGCTGCCTTCTTCCATGGCGTCTGCACTGCTGCAGTCTTTGGTTCTTCCTCAGAGATGTCCCTCTCTTCCACCTACCACTGAAGTGCAGACAATTCTCCAAGCTCTGGACTTTCTTTTTCTCTTCTCCTCCACGTGATATTTTCTCTCACCAATGTATTCTGGTATCAGCCTTTGACCGTATGAGCATGAGTCCCAGGTCTCTGTTCTGAGCTCCATACCCTAGACCATCATCTGCCAACTCCTGCTGGTCATGTGTTCCTGATTTTCACACAACAGGATGCCAACAGGAAAGATCTCACTCAAGCACCTCCTGCAGTGCACATTTCCACTTCTGTGAAGCTCGGGCTATCTCATGACCTGCCCTTGAAGCCTCAAGCTAGCATTTTTGATCCCTGCCTATCACTTCACACCACCTCCAGGCATTTTCAAAGCATCCTTGCCTGGTCCAGGCCTGCCATTATCACTTTGTGCCTCCACTTCTTTTTACAGTTGAGCTTTCATTTCTGACACCGGATCAATTGTCCTCCAACCCACTGTGACTTGTTCAAAGAAATTTAACAGCTTCCTATTTTAGACTAAAAGAGGTTCAGATTTCTCAGTCTCTCCCCAGCTTGCCCCAGTGTGTCCTGAGGCTTACTGCCAGTTTGTCCCCACATACACCCTGTGGCCAACTGGAATCAGACTTCTTAGTGCTCTGTCAGTGCACCTGCCTCTTCTCTCTGCCCATTTCTTTGTATTTATTTAATTTTTTCCTTTTATTCAAGGTAACTTGTCTTCTTCTTCTCCTCCTAAAGACCTTAATTCTGTTTAACACTCCTCTAACCATAACCCATTTGTAATAGTTCTACTCAAAGTTCTGCTTCATATTTAGATAATGAGCTTAGACCCAAATATAGCTGAACTCACTGCTCTTTTCATCAAGAAAGTCTTGTTACAAAAAAAAAAAAAATTGGCTGAACTAGAGAATGTACTTGGTGACATGTTGATTTACATTCTGGCACAAGCTCCTTAAGCCATCGTGAGTGCTGACAGTTCATAGATGGGGTCCTCAGGCCACACTTTGGCCACTCTCAATGGCGCTCTTCACGTTTTGCCTGGTGTGGTCCTTGACTGTGGATAGGAAGTTAGCTTCTCAAGGGCAAGGGCTGAGTCTTATTCCTTGTATCCAACACACACGGTAGATACTTAAATAAGTACTAAATAATTTGGTGGCACTGACTTCCAAGGCCACGTCTCATGATTCAGACTTTTATTTATTTACTTGTTTTGGAAGGCAGAGACACACACAGAGAGAAAAGCGAGAGCGCCCATCTACTGGTTCACTCCCCAGATGGCTGTAACTGTCTGGACTAGGCTCATTAAATCCTAGAGCCAGGAATTATCCCAGGTCTCCCATGTGGGTGGCAGGAACCCAATTGCTTGAGCCATCACTGATGCCTCCCAGGTTCTGTATTCGAGGACACTGGAGTCAGGTATGAAACCCAGGCATTCTGCCTGCTATGGAATATGGATGTCTGAACTGCTGTCTTGACACTGGGCTAATGCCTGCCCCAGGATTCAGCTATTTTGTGAGAGAAATCTTCCTGCTCAATCTGTAGGTATGGCAGCAGCAAGAGGATCCAGAATGATTTGTCAGATTGTGTGCGAAGGCATCCCTGCCTCGGGATCCATGGGTCTTATTTTCCCCTCTGTGTTTGTCAACCCAGTGTCCTGTGGACCCACACGAGGGTTTACAGGAAGTCTTGGGCAGGAGATAGAAGGGTCAGGAGTGGGTAGAATGAGGAGAGCTAAGTTATGCTAATGATGATGTTCTCAGTGGCAAGCAATAGGCCCCCAACCAACAGCTTAAGGATCCTTCAGAACAAGTGACCCAAAGACAGAACTCCTGGGGCTGAGTTAGCCACTCAGGTATGTCATCAAGGAGCCAGCTTCCTTAGGTCTGTTGGTTTTGCTGTTCTTATCATGTCAACAGTGCCTCCACTTCTGGCCACAAGGTGGCTAAGCAAAGCTAATGATGACTTTCTCACCTGACAATGCCTGAAGCAGGAAGGAAGGACTCTCCACAAGAGTCTCTCTCCATTTTTAGGAAGAAAACCTCTCCCAGAAGTCCCCCAGGAGACTCCCCTTGCGTCTCATTGGCCAGAATTTGCAGTGGGGGGCTCTCTGGGGGGAGCTGCTAAGGAGGCTGGGAGAGTATCTACATTTTCAGAATCTGTAGAACGGATCAGGCAAAGAGTAAAGGGATTGGGGAAGCAACCCTCAGAGTCCTGACAGGGCAATGATAGGATCTGATAAGTCCCAGGGAGAGATGCAGGACGGCACAATCAGAGGGAAGAATTCATAATGGAAACCCAGACGCGACAGGAAATACTGCTGGGAATTGGAACAACAGGAACGTGTTAAGGTCACCATTGAGATTCACCCGACCTTTACTGCTATGCCAGGTCTTTCCCCAGCATAATTCTCACACCAGCCTTTTGGGTTGACATTATCCATTCCATGTTGCCGATGTGTAGGGCAAATCTGGGTCAAGCTAAGACAAGTAGCCCCCAACTGCTGGCTTGGAGAGCAGGGCTGGATTGGATGCATCATATTTACCTACTTCTGCCTCCCATTAGCTTGGAATCACTGTGTCACACACAGAATAAATGGCAGGGGCAGAGTTTGAGTCTAGCTCTTCCACCTCCAACCTCCGTAACAACAGCCAACAATGGTATTTATAGACAACATCTGGGCACTATGTAAAGATTTTACATGAATTATCCTATTCATTCTATGAAAGAAGTACAAGTCTTTATACTTTCTGACATTTAGGGTAAGTACCTTGCAAATGTAACTT